TGTTTACTACTTAAATTTCCATAAGGATTCATCCCATCTGTAGCTAATCCAATTCTCAAGTTTCTTGGCTCTGCACCAAATTCTGGAAAGGTTTCATCAATCCTTTTCCATTGTGGAGAATCAGCTGGATGTCGAAGAAGATTGTCACATTTTCTACCATTTGCATGCCATGTCAAGTTTCTTGCATCTTCTTTTATGGCAAATAATCTTTTAAACCTAGGTATAATTGGCAAATACCATAACACCTTAGCAGGGGGACCATCTACTTCTTCCTCACCACTACTTTCCTTAACTTTGTTTTTGAACCTCGACAAACCACATGTCGGACACATCTTTAATTTAGCAAAATCCTTTCTGTACAATATACAATCATTAGGACATGCATGTATTTTCTTGTACTCTAAACCCATTGGACATAATATCTTCTTTGCCTCATAGTTACGAATAGGTAATGTATTATCTTCGGGAAGCATCTCCTTCAACAACTCCAATAATTCGGTGAAACTTTTATCAGTCCATCCATTTCTTGCTTTTAAAGTAAACAATTTTAAAGTTGCTGATAATCTTGTAAAACTACATCCTATGTACAATTGTTGCGCAAAATCAGATTTCAAAGAATCATATAGATGTGCTTTCATAAAATTTTCTTCACCAATATCACGTATCATATCCTCTAGATTATCATCCATCCCTTCATCAAAATTGTCCGTAGTTGACACAGTTGGGATGTCTAATATTTCTCCATGCCATGTCCATATTGTATAACTCTTAATAATACCATAAACAAACAAGTGATCACGTATATCCTCAAGTTTATGACGAATTTGATTCAAACAACGAACACATGGACAATAATATGTCCCTTTCATAGCTTTTCCATTCTCACTAGCAAATTTCAAAAATTCCTCAACTCCCTTTTCGTATTCTTCACTAATACGACGTGCATTCATCCAACTTCGATTCATATTATGTTATAAAGTTTCGTCACTCCTAAAGATTTAAAAATTATATGTAAAAAAAATTAATATACAAACAACAAATCACGTTCCAACAACAATGGAGTGTGTAAACCGAATGCACTCAAACAAATAAACAAATAATTACATTCCAATAACAATGCAGTGGAGACATTCATACTATAACGTGATTGAGATCCCCAAAAATAATCACGGGACATAGAACACTAACCTCGAGTGTAGACGAAAACTGATTTCAAACTCGATTCCAATCGGGCAGAAAGATCAAGTTCGACAAATGACACGATAATGTAGATGCTTTTCACTGTAAAACTGCTCGAAAATGGTTTGCAGAGGTAGTTGTTGTCGTCGTTCTCGTCGTCGTTCTCAAAAACCCTGGTTGCGCGAGACGAGGAAGTGGGTCTGGAGGGAAATAAAATAGACTTTTTACGTTGCGCATCCCAGTATGCGACAGTAAAAAGCCATCTTTTACGTCGCACCTGGAGGGCGCGACGTAAAAGTCCATCTTTTACGTCGCGCCTCCCAGGTGCGACGTAAAGAGGCTTTTACGTCGCATTCGGGATGTGCGACGTAAAATTTTTGTCCCATATTTACAAAATTGCCACCGCGTTTTATTTACGTCGAATATACATGCATGCGACGACAATTGGGTGACGTAAAAGCCCTATTCTCGCACTAGTATATATATATATATATATATATATATATATATATATATATATATATATATATATATATATATATATATATATATATATATATATATATATATATATATATAAAAGAAGAAGAAGAAGAAGAGGTTTGAAATTGTGCATATGAAAAGAGGAAGGTAAGAAGTCACAACAAGAGTGTAACGACAACAACATGACCAAAGTAGAAGTTTATATTTAGGGTTTATTATTCTTTTTAAATTATATATATATATATATATATAATATAAAATAATAATTATTTTATAAAACAGATCATAAGCATGACTAATCTAGTCTAAACCCATTTAGGTCATAACCTAAATAGGTCCGACAAAATTAACCTGGTTCTATTTAAGTTATAATTTTTTTTGCCTAAACTAATCTATTTTTTGAGTTTTTTAGACCGACTCATCGAACTAAACCTATTTTTACATCCCTAATCAACCTATTATGATATAATACAATAACTATATCTAATGTTATTATCAATATGATATTTAATTATATTATAAAATTATTCCATAAAATGCATATTATTTTAAAAATTAAAAAAGTTATAAAATTAATTTGTAATTATTAGAGAAGTCTTTAATAGTATAAAAAATTGAAAATGAAAAAAAATATCACGTGTAGGTTAAAAAATCATTCCATGAATTAATTTGACTGAATTCTTAAATGAATATAGCTTTTTACTAATTTTATTATGGGAATTTTAAGATCAAACAAATTAAATAAAAAAAAAACAACTAGTAAAAATAAAAGCTGAAGAAATAAAATGTAAAAATGTTAAATTTGTGAAATTATTTTATTCAACGGGTGACTTTGAAAAATGGTTTTAATTGTTAAAAAAAATGTTGGAATTTGAAGGAACTTCGAGAAATTTCTAAATAAAAGTCACATATTAAATAATAAAATGTTAAAAAGGGTTAATTTTGGATTTTCTAGAGATAGAAATTAAAAAAAAATCAATTTTCAACCTCATGGTAAATACATTCAAATTATTTTTTTCTATTTCTTTCCTACATTAAAAAAAAAAACCTGGTATAAAACAATATAAAATATAATTATTGTACACCATATTTATTTACAAGAATTAAGTGTTAATATGCAAACAAATGGAATCTATTTACAAGAATTTAAGTTTAAAATAAAGTAACAAAATGTTTACAAATGAAAATTTATTTTTAATATATAGTGAATAATTTTATTAATTTTGAAGAAATATTTGATCTTCAATTTAAAAGAAAGAAAAAAAATTGTTTTTAAGTTTTGAAATTTAGAATAGTTCTAACTTTAGTTCTCTAAATTTAAAAATATATATTTTTAATCTTTTGAAATTAAAAAATATTGTTTTAATTTTTTTAATAAATTTAAAAGATTAAAATGAGTTTTTTAAAATTATTTTTAATTATTTAATGTTTAAAGACTAAACTTATATTTTATTTTATTTAATAAATTAATTTACATATATCGAACCTAACATGAAATTAATTTATCATTGATGGGATGAATTGATAAACATGTGCAGGAGTGGTCTTTTGATCAATTATTTCTTTCAATCCTCAAATATAAAATTGCATTAATTTAAATTCCCAATATTCAGACACCACATTCGACTTTAATCTTTTTTTTAATATTATTTAACTCAAATGAAATTAGACGATGCAAATATCATACATATAAAAAAACATTCAATTTAACATCTAACAAATTGCAGGAAAATATAGCTATCTCTGACTCAAAGTATAGAATCAAAGCATCATGTTTAGAAGAAAATAATTATTTGTTGACCTACTGAATGACCAAGTTTAAAGTTAACCTTGTTGTTGAAAAAGAAAAAGTTGATATTTTTCACTCTTCCATGTATCTTTTCTGATGAAAAACTGAGTTTTATGCAGGAACAGTTGAATGTAAAATTAGAGAGGAGAGTTGTCAATTCCCAGCAGAATTTCAAACTTAGAAAAATGCATTCCATCTTGAAATAAGATGGAAAAGAACAAAAGCAATACATTGTATTTAATGCTTATCTCAGTTTGTGTTGGATTGATTATGGTTGGAAGTGGACATCTCAACCTATTGCATTATCCTCTTTGGTGAGTTTAATGTCTTCTTGTTCTATTTATATTATTTTTAAAGTTTTATATAAAAATCAAAAAAATTTAATCAATTTTGTTAACCTCTATATATATTATTTTACCTTTATTACTTATTTTACAATAAATATATAAACTGAAATTAATTAAAGACCATTAAAATCATAAGAACCAAAATCTAAACTATCAGATGAGAGGGATCAAAACCAAAATTAATATAGGGAAAATCTTTTATTTATTATCCATAAAAAATCATTAATTTTTATACCATTATTGCTGTTAAGGTTCCAACATAAAACCAATTGGCAATATATGGATTAGCCTAACATGTATTTAAACCATACAAAATGACATGAGGTAGACAATGTGGGACTTTCAACACACCCCCTCCAGCGAAGCCTGCTGGACCAGGCAAAGGGTACTTTTGACCCAACTAAAGGACAACTTTTGGCCCATGACAATAACCGAAAAGATATTAGGCTTTGGCTCTGATACCATATTAAAGTTCCAACATAAAACCAATTGGCAATATATGGATTAGCCTAACATGTATTTAAACCATACCAAATGACATGAGGTAGGCAATGTGAGACTTTCAACAATTGCCATATTTTTCCCAGTTTTCCATTTCTTTATATTGGTCAAATAGAGAAATTTCTTAAATATAATTCTTTTTTACCATATAATTTTTTTCTCAAAATTCTCTTTCAAAACAATTGAAAAATACGAAAATATGTGATAAGGGATAATTAATTATGTTTGTATAGAAACATAAAAATAAAGTGTTCAATCTCATATTTCTTATAATAATATTAATAGAGTTTATTATTACATTTAAAATATTATCTATTTTCTGTTTTAAAATGATAATTTATCATGAACTTTTTTAAAAATAAAAGAGCATAAAATTAAATTTACAACTTAAATTTGACCTTCCACACTCCATGGTTATACCACTACACTATCAACCAAATTTCTTCTAAGAACATTATATATTCATCCTATCAACAGTTAGTCAAATTCAAGATTTGCTTCCTTCTTTTGGTGAATTTCTAACTAAGTCCTATAAAAACTCTAGAGGAAACTCAGAAAACCAATGGGGTGAACATGTTTACAACTATACCTTTATACTTGTATGGAACTTTTACAAATGAATAGATCCTTGATTTCTTTATCAGCATTGTTGAAGAAGGAATGGAGGAGTTGAAGCTATATGCAAATGATGCGATGTAGAATTAATCTGATTTCTGGTCTGCATCTGTTGTGGCTTGGACTTGAGCTGCATACTGTAAGTTCCACAAGACATCCTCAAAAGAGGGGCGAAATGAAGATTCTGGAGATATGCATTTGGTTGTTATTGATATTGCAATTGATAATGACTCTTGAGAGCAAGTGGTCAACACTATAGGATCCACAATCTTTCTTCTACCATCTTCACTGCCAAAGGATGCCTGTGCTTCACCAAATATCAATTTTCTCATCAAAATATATGTCAGATGACGATAGAGAGATGTTTATAAAATCGTATTATGAACCAATTATACCTATAAAATATGAAATTATATTCAATACAAATCCTCAAAACATTAAATTTATATATCTCTTTTATTAGAATTAAGAATTCACGTAACATTTAAAGTCTGTCAAGGTTAAAATCATATTTTTCTTTTATTCTCAATTAGTCTCTATAAACTCTTTCCTCTTTCAAATCTCAATAACTTTTTATTTATATCTTATTTATATATTACTCAATTTTTTTATTTTATTCTTTTACCAAATTTGAAATCCAATTTCCTCTTTAAATCTAACACCAAATATGTTAAAATATGGTCTCCATCATCACTTAGTTCATGCATCTTGACATGTCATGTAAGAAACTACCTTAAGACCACATGTGGCATGTCTAGATATATGTCATGTCATTAATTATTGGGCAAATTTTAAAGTTTATGGCTAAGATATTAAGGATTATATATATATATATTCCATATTTATAATTTGTAAAGACTAACAAACATACTAATAAAACTCCGAAGTAGAAAAAAAATTAATGTTTAAAAATGGTGTAAATATGGATGATAGAAAAATATAGTATTTACAAATTTTTAGTCCATATGACCCAAAGAGCTTTCTATCTCGTAACTTTTAAAAAGTATCACCTCATTGTTTATATAAGTTCAAAAAAAATATTTTGTGACAATTATTTTAGATAACTTCCACGGAAAGTACTAAAATAACTTTGGTTTGATATTTTAATTTTTTTTAATGTTATTATGAATTAAAAAATAATAATTTTCTGAAAAAAAAAAAAAACTCACACTAACCCTTACATGTCACGTGATGATTTAGGGAATCCTATATACTCGTATAATACACATACATAATCTAAATTCTCGGCATTAGCAATACTAAAATGAAGAAGAATGAAAATATTTTTTGACGCTAAAAAATTATTGACTTAACTTCTTTTTTTTTCTTCTTAACTATGCTTTTAATCCCTAAAACTTACTGTGGTTTTGACTTAGTTTGAAAAAAATAAAATTAGTTCCTAAATAATAAATTTGGATAACTAAAATAAGTTTTTTTTTAATTATTATTAATCCTTTAAATCTAGTGTTTCATTATTAAAATCGTATTTGACTAAAATTGAGGGACTAATTTTTTTTTTAATTCGAAAGATTAAAAAATTATCTACTCCTAGAGAGTAAAAATATAATTAAACTTTATAAAATTTTTAATTTTATTAATCAATTTGATATATTATAAAATAAAGTTTAATTAAATCCCTTAATTTTGTAAAACGTAATAACGTGTATTCTTTCCGCTTATTAATAATAAAATCGTTAAGAAACAAATATTGAACATTTTAATTTGCTCATAAAATAAATATATATAACCGATCGATGATAACAATTTATATAACTAATGACATCAATTTCTACATAAAAAAGAGTCAGATTTTTTACATTTTAAAAAGATGAAAAATTTAATCGAATCTCAAAATGGTCATATTAAATTTTTAAAATTGAGGGATTTGATTGAATTTATTAATAGAGGGATTAAATTAGACAAAGTAAATAAATAATATAACAAAAAAATAATAATAATAAAAAAGTATGAGGACGTTGAATATATTCATTGAAGCAGTGGTTGTATTCATAAAAAGAAAAAGGCAAATGTTTAAAAAAAAATAAAAAAAATACTAACCTTCTCATTTAGAAAGAATGTTTCTCCTTTGTCGCATGCTATGGGTCCAACAAGTGATTCGAACAATATGAATCCAAAATTATAAACATCATCATCTGCTTTTGTCCTTAGGCTACAATACAAAAGAGAACAATTTCTTTGTTATTCCATCTTTCATACCATAAAATCATTCATAACAAAGGACATCAAACTATCGTGAAGGGCCTGAAAACATTAAAAGTGATGACTACACAAAAATTGGGAGAAGTATTAAGAAGTGAAGTGGCTTAAAGGAAACAAACACAATATCCTTATATGTAAACAAACCCTCTTAAGAGTGGAAACCAATCATTGTTTTGTTGTTTATGCTAAACTAACAACAATGGTCATGACTTATTGGTTGAGTTTGATTCTTGATGTTATCATGACAATGAAGCTGCTAAAGAAAGTAGTAGTCATGGTATAAAAAAACTGGTACCAATGAGTACAATAGAGAAGTGGGGTTTGTTGGGTGTTGCAAAGGGAGGAATAACAAGGAGATAACTGATACTAGTGTTGGGTATTTTTGAGAGGGCAACATCAAGAAGATATTCATGAATGGAATTATGAACCAATCCTTACGACATTAGGTTTGTGAAGTTTTTTGTTTTATATCTTACTTAACTTTCTATTTTTACCTGTTGGTATGTCCTAGGATACTAAAAACCTAATGTGGGATCCAACTCACACTCTTTATGTAAGAAACAAGGTTTTAAATTACAATTACTGAAACCTTAATATTGCAAAAACTAGTGGACAAATGTGGTTTCCAAAACTTAAATGTTGTGGCTAAATTTGCATTTTGTAGTCGGAGGACCACAATTTATAAAACCTTGCTATGAAGATTTGAAATTTGGTAGAGAGGAAAGTTCATTCAAAATTTTATAAAATATAATCTTAAGATATGTATTCAATTGGAGATTATTCTGCTAAAGGAAAATGAGTTTTGGTATCATACCATGGCTTTGATTTCTCACCCTTTGCCTGTAATACAAATAAGGCAACAGAATCATTTGAGGATTAATTATAATTTATATTAAACAATGGTAAAACCGCAACATTGGGTTGCCAGGACATACCTCAAACTTTTCAATTTCTTCTGTAATGATGGACATACCATAGTCACTTAGTTTTGGAATGCGGTGTTCATCAAGCAAGATATTCTTTGTCTTTAGTAGGTTACTAAAACAGCCAGGTATAACACCAGTATGTAAGAAATGCACTGCCTTTGCAACTCCAATTAAAATTGCCAATCTATCAGACCACTGGAGTGCCTTCTCTACAGAAAATTCTGCATGTTTGAATGAAGGAAGATTAGTGGATTGAAGTCTTCTTTATATGTAGTTTCAATATTTTTAATGATTAATAACAAAAAAGATTCATGAAATCATGTATAGATAAGGAGGGAAATAATTGGTGAAACTTAAGACTGCTGATATGCATACTATCATTTTTCCATACTGACCTGACAGATGGGTATGATAATTTCCATTTGGCACATACTCGTATACAAGATGAAGTTTGTGGGAATTGGAATCATCTTGTCCACCACCATCAACACAATGACCCAAAAGGCTAACCAAATTTGGATGTTGAAGTTTTGAGAGTAAATCCAATTTAGCTCTAAGATTTTGAATTGAGCATTTCTTTGACAGAACCAAAGATCGTATTGCCACGTAGGATCCATTCTCTAGTTTACCTTTGTACAGCTGAAATATGGCAGAAGACATAACAGAGGCATTTACAGTGAGCATATAAAATAAAATTGACAAAGTCTTTTTATGTTTACACATATACATTTAAAATCACTTGACCTTCTAACAAGGTGTAAAAGCCAAAACATACGAATACTGTAATCTTGATTTCAGAAATTGCAAAGAACACTCAAGTAATTTTGTCTTCTTAACCACTTGGCAGAACTGTAGAACCCACCTCAGTGGTATATCCTCCCTTAAAACCAAAAGAATGAGCTATACAATATTTCCAATATCATTTAAAGTGGTTGAAGTATACCTTCCCTATGGAGCCTTGACCAATATAATTTGACAAGTCAAAGTTTTTAGTGGCTTCCTTCAATTCCTCTATTGAAAATTGCCGACAGGTTGGAGTAGTTTGTGTCCCTAGCTTCACTGTTTGAGAAATAAATCCTGAAAACAATAGAAATCAAGACATTACTATGTTAGAAAACTTTATACCCAATTAAAATATTAAGAGTTAACAACACAACACTATGGCCTAAGTAACCTATATACTTACTGGCATTTGCAAGGATCTCTGATGGAACTCCTGTTGAGGAGTTATCTTGAACAATCTTTAGCAACACATCCTGCCCAGTTGTCTTTCTGGAACGGTACTTTTTCCATACGAAGAATCCCGACACCAAAAGCACCAGAACAAGTACAACAATGATGGCCATTACTACAGCTACTTCCCATGTCTTAAAGCTCTTCCATCCAGAGGCAGATTCTTTACAATAAGAACCTCTATTCTGGTTCAGAGAATCAACAGATAGACAGTTTCCAGCATATCTAACAACTCTACTATCAGATGTATTGGCCAAGCAAGAAGGAAGTCCACCACTTAACTTGTTACGAGAAATGTCCACAAATCCAAGTTTGCTGCCACAGTTAAGTTTGTCTGGGAGAGCCCCAGTTAGCATATTGCTTGCCAGATTCAAATAACTTATTTTTGGTAGAGAAAACAAGGTAGATGGGGGTGTCTTACTGAGGTGATTTGAAGAAAGATCAAGATGTTGAAGCTGACCCAGTTCATCAAACTGTTTAGGTATCTCTCCTGAAAACGAGTTATTGCTAAGCAACACTGTGACCACAGATTTAGGAAACAATGGTAGTTCAGACTCTAAATAGTTATCTCTTAAATCCAGAACATGTAGGCCAGTGAGAGAACTGAGACCGGGCAAGCCACCAGACAACTCATTGTGGGACAAGGAAATAACTTCAAGTGTCTTCATTTTGCCCAGTGAGGAGGGGAAAGAACCCTTCAAACCATTGTTCTTCACGCTCAAGATATTCAGATTGGACAGAGAATCAAACGAATCGGGCATAGTGGTGTTAAAATAATTGTCATCAAGGGTAAGTGAATGAAGCTTTACCATTGTGGATATTTTATGTGGAATGGCTCCAAATAAGAAATTGGAACTCAAGTCCAAAACTTGAAGCAAAGGGAAACTGTGAATCGTATCAGGAAGTGGCCCCCAAATCCCCAAGGACACCAAGCTAAGAACCCTTAAGCTGGTCAACCTTGTCAAAGTGGTCAAAAAAGAATCAATGGAGAAATTCATGGATAGAGTTTGATTAGGAACTGCAAATCCATTGAACCATGGTGGCTTCAAAGATTTTTCACCCATAATTTTAAGCTCAGTTACCTCATCTTCTTCACATTTAATGCTCATGTTTGCAGACGGTGAGACGCTGCATAGGTCCCCCTGGTAATATTCCCAAACTTGCAAAGAAGAGGGGTACTCTAGATAAACTCTTAACTGCAACAAGGCTTGAGTCTGAGCAGCTTGTAGTTCATGGGTGTTTGGGATGAACAAAAACCATGAAAGAACCACAAGATGCAGGTAGCAAAAATGTCTCATTGTACCGCCTTGGAACATCACGCACCCTGAAGAAATTTTTGTTCAAAAGCAACGGTTCTAAATTGCACTTGTGGTTGCAGTTTCGTTACAATTCTTGAAAATTAAAAGAAACTATAGACAAATACAGCCGATGCGACCACAATTGCAATGTCAGAGACCCTAAAAACTTTAACGTCAAGGCAGAAATTGGAAGAAATATAGACAAATACAATCGAATGTGGTCACAATTATAGTCCCAGAGACTCCAAAAACTTTCATACCATGGCCGAAATCACATTCACGCACCCTTTTATCAAAACCTTGTGAACAGTTTAAAACACTGCGGGTATGTTACGTCCGTAACATAACTGAAGAGAACCAAGAAGGAAAAGGAGGGAACTTGGACAGTGTTCAAGGAGTTCATGGAGTAAAAACTACAACTTTACACAATGGAGCACCAGTTCGGAGAAACAAAGAAGGACCCATTAATTGGAAGGTGGGTTAAATGCAGATGGTAACAGAGCAGAACAGAGAAAACAGAAAAAACAGGACCTTGGGAAGTGGAAATATGGAGGTGCACAATTTGCGACTTCGATGAAAGGTGAGCGTGTGTTGAAAGAAGACAAGTAAGGTAGTTGAAAATGTCGTATTGTGGAGACTGAGAGAGGCATTTATTTCGGTGTTCGAAGCGGCGTTGCAGCCATTAATGGGGTCGGTAACTATTGGAGAGGAGATGAAGGACAGAGGAGATAAATGAGCAGGGTCACAGCTTCAAAAAGATAAAGAAAATGATAGTTTCACGTCCCAAATTCATACCACTCATATAAATAATTTTGTTTTGATATTATAATAATAATTTTATTTTATTTTTATTAAATTAATCTATAAATTATTATATTAATAAAAGTATGTTATTTAAAAAGTAAAGTAATTTATTTTAATATTATAATAATAATTTTATTTTATTTTTATTTTTATTAAATCAATCTATAAATTATTATATTAATAAAAATGAATTGTTTAAAGAGTTATATAATTTATGATTGGAAAAATATTACTACTCAAAAGATAATTAGTAACGATTCTATATCCATTAATTATATATATTTTCTCTCTCCTCATTTTCAAGTCACGTTACGACACTAACTATTTACTCTATCAGTACCGTATTTATTTACAAGATATTTTCAATAATTTATACTCTTTAAAAAAATAAGTCAAAAATTGTAATTAGCTAATATTTTGTATAATTATTTTTAATAAATTTAAAGTTAAATTAGCTAAGTAAAAATTGATTTGTGGATACGAAGGTTCTTGTTCTTATTCTCATATCATATATATTAGCAGGGAGAAACATTATTTTATTTATTAAAAATATTTTAAAATAAAATACTATCTGAAATTTTATTATTATATGATTTTTGCGTGATAGATGAATAAGATATATTTATATATATTGAAAAATAGTAAATCTTTTTTAAAGTTAATTTTCTTAAAAATAGACTTTTTTTAATGCTCTAAATATAAATATTGATATAATTTATTTGAAATAATTATAAATTAAATATTTTGTTGAAACCTAGAATCATTGACTAGTTTGAATTAAAAGAAACTAAAAATGTTGTTATTTTGAGATGGAGATGATATTCATTTAATTTAGAGAAAATGTTAGTTTTCTCTTTGAAATATTTATATAAACAAAAGTTTAATGACTATAAATTTTATGTTTGATTTTTGTTTTTAAATTTAAATAAAAGAATCAAATGTATAAATAAGAGATATAATAATAATAATAATAATAATAATAATCAATAATAATAATAATAATAATTTTTTAATTATTAGACTTTCTAACAAAATATTTCAATTATATGAACTTGACTTTTAAAGTTTGTTGGAATGGTCATAGATATGAATTTTACATTCATATTTTTTTATGTCTTTTTATAAATTCTCAAAAAATATAATCGTTACAGAGTAATTTTTTAATCTTTATATTTTTTTTATGATCCTTTAACATCTTGAAGATATAGTTATTGTAATATATTTTGATCTCCACCTAAAGTTTATATATATATATATATATATATATATATATATATATATATATATATATATATATATATATATATATATATATATAATATATATATATATATATATATAAGTATTGATTATGATAATAAATGATAATAAGAGAAATAGAGTATTAAAAACATAGTTGATTATTACACAAGAATATATCAAATATAGAATTTAATTTTTAGTATAAGATTTGTAACGGTGTTTTGATTAACTTTCTTATTAGGTTTAAATAGTCCTTAGACAATGTGTAATGTTATATTTTATTATGAGTTTTGAACACTACAATCATAATTACCATTATAATAGAATTTTAAGTGATTAATAATATGTTTAATTATTGTTATATTAATACAAAAGTTAATTATATTTATTATCATCAAAACACAAAATATATAAAGATATTGGTTAATATTTGTAGTCTGGTGAGACTAAATCCTAAGTTTTAGCTAATATGTCATAATTAATTATAATATCTGAAGTGCATTTGTAACAAAAATGTAAAAACAAAAATTGTTTAATAAAAAAAAGTATATATATATATATATATATATATATATATATTTTAAACTAAATAATTTCAAAAAATTAATTTTCATATTATTTTGTGAAGGGATTTATATAAATTGTATGGAATTTTTTGGATCATGAATGACCATGTCCTAAAAATAAAGTTTTTTGTAAGCCTAAAGAAAGTAGACATGAGAATTTATAATTTCTTTGAGTAAATATTCTTTATATACAACTTTGAATAAAGAAATTATTTCATTTGAAAAATTTTAAGATATTTTATTAAAATGTTTTCTATTTTAATATGGACATGTTCATAATTGTTTTTATGCTTTATGGATTTTGATGGGTAAAAACTGTAGTGTACAATTATTATCAAATAATAGTTTTTAATGATAAAGATAACATGTTTGATTTTATAAATATTAAAATTTAATTGAAAAATAAAATAATCAAAATTGAGTAAATGTAGAGTAAATAATTTAAGAATTAAAATATTAATGTAATATAATAGGGACTAATTTGATACAAGAAAACTTGTAAGATTACATGCTAGAACCCTTCATTTTCTTTCTCACATATGACGACAATATTATTTATATACATCATCACCTCTTAATTCATTGAAATGCTTTAAGGAGAAGATTATGATGAAGTCGAATTCAAACTACAAAGGGACAATACCCCTAAACATGGTGATTACCTTAGTGGAGTTAGCTTAGAAGACTTGATGTTAGAACATTGGTGTAGTTTGTGGGGAACATAAACCCTTGAGTAGGGGTCTTGTTTTAGTATGTAAAAAACTCTTACCTCTTTTCCGGGTTGATATTGAGGATAATTTCAAAATATCTTTATTTCTTAACCTACTAAAATATTTTTTTAAGGATAAAATTGTAATAGAGGTTATTGACTCTAACAATATTATCTTAACATACTTGAGGTCAAAATATTGACACTATCTATAAGAAACGTAAACTCTTAACTGTTGATTATGGAACTTGCTATATTATGCTCATAAGTCTTATATCCCTTATGAGTTGAAATTATAAGTAGTTTATATACATTCTTCTTTTTTTTAACTCATCATGATGCTTTTAAAAAATAAAATTGAGTTAGAGTCAAGTTTGAACTATAAAACTGACAATACCTCAAAACTAGTAATTGATCTTTGCAATGATATATTGGAGATCTTGAGGCTATAACACTTATATACATGCATTCAACTTTTTCTCCACCTTTTACTTTAGTTTCACTTTCTATTTCTCCCATTTTCATATATTTTTTTTTAAAATTCACCTATTCAAATTAAAAACATAAATTCAACACGTGATTTATATCCCAAAATTTTTTTATGAAATTGCTACAGTGCATTCCTTTATACATCAATAAAAATAAAAATAAATAATACATGGGCACCAAAGAAAATTCATAATGTTTCTAACAATAAGTAACAACTATTGGTTAAACTTTCATATAACTCCAGGTTTGAAATCAATTCCTAGTCTCTTTATCTTTTATTCATGCATATAAAATCATTTGCCTTAACAAATTTTTCAAATAAATTCTAAAAAGACATGAGATTTATGTGACTACTATTCAAGTGTAAAAGTCAAAGTTTGTTTATCTATTATAAGAGCTGAAGTCGGATTAAGCTCATTATTACTCCTTAAGTTAATGACATTTACATTTTTCTTTGGATTTATAGTTAGTTGAGAAGGAAGATGTTTAAAACTCTATTGTTGTATGTTATTGCCTGTAATGGCTAACTCACAAATTTGACTATCTGAGTTTGCATGTCTTTAATGGTTGCAGTCACATTTTGCTAAAACTACATATTGTTAATAGTCATCTATTCATCAAGTCCTTTATTGAAGATCTACCACTTGGTCTATTCAAGTTGTTGTTGAGTGTGTTGCGTAGTTGCATGCAAAATGTTGTTATCTAAAATTTTTGTTATTGTTACATGAGCTGAAAAGAAAATTTATGTTGTGTGAGTTATTATTATGATGGACTCACTAGTGCAAAAATGACATTTTACGTCACCCAATTGTCGTCACATGTCAAAATATTCGACGTAAATAAAATGCGGTGGCAATTTTGTAAATAAGAGGTGAAACTTTTACGTCGCATATTGTAGGAGGTGACGTTAAAAACCTTTTACGTCGCACATGGTACAACGTGACGTAAAAGAGAGCTTTTTAAGTCGCGTGGGGTGTGCGCGACATAAAAAGTGATACTTTTTACGTCACGTGGGGGGTGTGCGACGTAAAAGAGGCTCTTTTACGTCACGTACTAGGGTGTGCGACGTAAAAAGTTCTTTTTATTCTCTTCATTACTCACTCCCGCATCTCGCGCCGTAAGGGTTTTTTAGAACGACAATGAGAACGACGACGATAGCTACCTTTCCACACCATTTTCGATCATTTTGG